AGGTTCTGGTTGAGCTTTCGAATGAGGAAATAGTATGTTTTGATTTGGTTTTTCATGTGATTAATAGTTTAACTGATTTTTGTATCCATAGACTTTATTACAAAAATAATTACATTTATAAACTATGTTGAATTTTGGTTTAGGGAATAAATGCAAAATGATGATATGATAATTCTTGGGGGCAAGAATAACTGTCAAATCAGTTTGCAAAAAGGATCTTGTGGCAATTTATAGACTAACTGGGGGCCCTTCCAGACAGGCCCCAAAATGCAGGCTTTTACCAGAAACGACCAAATGATGCCTCCAGTAAAAATGAATTTGGAGTAAAGCACAGCTATTCCAAATTAATTAAATACCCCATTAGACCTGGGCCTTTCTGAAAAGCTTGGGTCTAATAGGGTTTTGGGCCTGTGAGGTCTCACTTCTAGGACAATCGGGGGGGGGGGGGGGAGTCACTGGAATGTACAAAGTTTTGTACTGTAAGTAGGATTAAAATTGGCTTCTGAGTTTGAAAAGGTGGACCATCTACTTCTTTTCTCAGATTTGATCAAAATTATTCAGTGAAAACACCGACCATTTTGCATTCAGTGTTTTGAATTTGTTTTCATGGTATTCATTTCTTTGAACATTTAAAGTCATTGGCCGTATTGATTTGAGCAGACATTTTTTCAGTTAACTTTTGACATTTGTTTTTAAGAACCTGATCAAGGGCGAAGTCGACTAGGACTGTGGATTTCGTTAGTCGTTACAGTGATAGTGATTGCAGTGTTTGGATTTTGTCTGTGGAAGAAAGGTATGCCAAGTTAACTTTTTCTATTCCAGAATACCCTGCTCTTCAATAGACCTAGTTTACTAGGATTAAGGCACACAAATGCAAGCAAGTTGGCAAGATAACTGTTTGATGTTAAAATCCTGGTTCTGTACACTTGTTTGTGTTTCCACACAGATTTTTAAACAAATATCTAAAAATAGGCAATATTAATATCAGGTTTTATTTTATCGATTTCAAAGCTTCTTTTTATGGTGTAGTAATGTATATACCCTGCATTTTCTTTGTGGTTCTCTCTTCCCTCTTTCCCTTCTCCCTATATTCCTTCCTTCCTTCTTTCCTTCTCTCTCTCTCTTTCCTTCCATCCATCCACCCATCTATCCATCTCACCTTGCTTTCCATCATATAACCCTTTCTTCCTTTCTCTTCCCTTCATTCTCTTCCTTTCTAGACTTTCTTCCCTTGTTCATCCCTTCTTTCTTTTTCTGCCTTTCCTGACCTCCTCATACATTTCCAACTTCCCTTTCCTCCTCTCTCCCTCTTCTTTTCCCCATTCTCTATTTTTTCTTTCCTCTTCCCTTCTTTTCTCTCACACACTTTCCCCGCTTTTCTTTCTATTATTATTTTTGTCTTTCTTTAATTCCAATGGAATTAATTCCATCCTTTCTCCCCCCCTCCTCCCTTTTCTTTTCCCTTTCTTTTTTCTTACTTTCCTTCCTCCCTTCTTCAAATTGAAAAAAAACCAGTTTCCCCCTCATCAGTGGAAGCACAGCATTCCACGGGAAAACCATCCCTTTCAGTCGTTTACAACATTTTTCAGCATCGGAAGCTAGTCAGGAAATACATTTTTCCTTGCTATTAGATAAGGAAAAATAAAAAAAAACTTGGTTTTGATGGGTAAATTCAGATTAGAATGGACTAAGAGATTCAATTGCTCTGTGTGGATTTCTTGGGAATGTGCAGCCGGTCTTGTGTAAGTACTCCAGAGCTAATCAGATGTGTTATAATCTACATTCTGCTCTGGATTAAATGGTTGTGTGGAAGGGCTCTTTAGCAAGATTATGTATCAGAAGATCAAAAGATGACAATAGGGAAGTTGAGGAGTGTGAGATGGGGCCAGGTTGCCCACTTCATAAACACCCCCCCCCCGAACTTCCCTGAATCCCTTCTGGGGGAGAGGTGCGAGTTAGAAATGAATAAATAATAATAATATTTCTACCTCCCTAAATTATTTTTCTCCCTGCATCCTGTTTTGGACAAGTCTATGTTGGAGTCTTAGCTGCATTGGATGCAGTTCTTCTAGAATAATAAAGAGTAACATAGTTCATTCAGGAAGTATTATTTTTCTCCCAAATAGCACAGTTCTCCTTGCCTCTCCATCCTGAGTGTTTCTTTAGTAATTCCCTGGCTAGATAGTATCAGTTCTTTAGAAGAGCATTAAGAGTCACCAACATAACATACATGATGTAAAACACACACTCTTAAGACCTTAGCACATTGGGATGTACTCTTATTCTGAGGCTCTTTGAAAGTGAGTCTGAATAGGTCCTATCACGTGACATTTGCCCCGTTTTGTCAGTAATCCATTGGAATCTGTTTGCAAAACATCACAGAAAGAGTAACTGCTCACTTGATTCTAATCGTGTTTTTTTTATTTACTACGATTTAATAACTATCTAATGTGCTGCTTTCACAGTGATTGGAAAATCAGTATGCATTCTGTCAGCTAAAAATGCATGGGAACATTAGTTTGAGACTTCCAGGTGATGTCACTGTGCAATATTAGGGGGGGAAATGATGCAGGGATGCATTCAAACAGATTGGGAGAAGCCAACCCTGCATGCTGTGATGAGTCAAACTTTGGGAGCCATTGCTCCCAAAGTGACCCATTTAAGGTGGAATCAGGCGTCAAACAGGGATGTGTTATTGCCCCAACTTTTTTCTCCATCTTCATCGCTATGATACTTCACCTTGTTGATGGGAGGCTTCCCACCAGAGTGGAAATTATCTATCGGACAGATGGCAAGCTGTTTAACCTCAGCAGACTGAAAGCCAAAACCAAGGTTACAACAACATCTGTTATAGAACTCCAGTATACTGACGACAATGTCGTCTGTGCACATTCAGAAGAAGATCTACAAGCCACTCTAAACACCTTCACAGAAGCATACGAGAAGCTTGGCCTGTCATTGAACATCGAGAAAACCAAAATGCTGTTCCAGCAGTCACCAGCCAACCCCTCTCCAATGCCAGAGATACAGCTTAATGGTGTAACATTAGAAAATGTTGACCATTTCCGCTACCTTGGCAGCCACCTCTCCACCAAAGTCAACATCAACACCGAAATACAACACCACCTGAGCTCTGCGAGTGCAGCATTTTTCCGAATGAAGCAGAGAGTGTTTGAGGACCGGGACATCCGTAGGGATACCAAGGTGCTTGTTTATAAAGCTATTGTCCTCCCAACTCTGCTATATACCTGCGAAACGTGGACTGTCTACAGATGTCACAGGTAACTCCTGGAACAATTTCATCAGCATTGCCTCCGGAAAGTCCTGCAAATCTCTTGGGAAGACAAGCGGACAAATGTCAGTGTGCTGGAAGAAGCAAAGACCACCAGCATTGAAGCAATGGTCCGCCATCAACTCCACTGGACCGGCCACGTTGTCAGGATGCCCGACCACCATCTCCCAAAGCAGTTGCTCTACTCCGAACTCAAGAACGGAAAACGGAATGTTGGTGGGCTTCAGTTTCCGGATCACTGACAAAGGAAGGCCAATGTAGAGGGCGTTACAGTAGTCAAGTCTTGAGATGACCGTCGCCTGGATCACTGTAGCCAGGTCGTTCCTAGATAGGTAGGGAGCCAGTCGCCTAGCCTGACGTAGATGGAAAAACGCAGATCTGCTCACAGCAGAGACCTGGGCCTCCATTGTGAGCAGAGGGTCCAATAAGACACCAAGACTTTTTACAGAAGGTGACGGCAAAAGTGCTAAGAGGAGAGATGATTGGGCAGCTAGTAAAAGTGTTCCCTTCTCATGTCTAAAATGCTGATGCATATGTGTGTGCTGATTTCTTTATTTTCCTTGAAGGAAAGGAGCAGAAAAGGCCTTATTTCCTTTGGCCAGAATATCAGTCTCAATGGTTGTTAGAAGTCAATATCAATTTATTTAACTTCATTTGTCTGCATAGGCAACTAAGTATATAATTCTTTACTAGGTTGGCGTTTGTGTGATATCAGGAAGCGGAAAAGCAAGGACAAAGAAGATACAGGTATGAACATGAGACACATGTGCCAGATGTAAGCCTCTTAAGTGATTATGGCAATTGAAGGGCGCAATCTCCAAGAACATTTCTACTTGCTTAACAGGATAAAAACTTGTATTAGAAAGCGGTGCTTAGGTGCACACATCTGAATAATTCCCCAGTGTTTCCACCAGTGCACCAATCTCTATGCTCTTTCTCTTTCCTCACCACCCACCTGCCCTGGTATCACCTAAGTATGCTTTAGAGTTTCAGGTGATTGGATACAGTCCTTCTAGAATAGTAGAAAATAGTATTCAGGAAGCATTTATTTTCCATATTGGTACAGTCACCTTTTCCTCTCCATCCCCAATGTTTATTTAGTACTTCTCTGGAAGTACTAAAGCAGTAGTTCATTTGAAGAACATTAAGAAGACAGTTCCACCTTGTCTCCTGCCTATGTCATCAGTTGGGAGCCCCTCCCCAGCACCAACTGCTGCTCCGGGCCAGAGTGAAGAGTGAGGGGACCAGAAGACAGTTCCACCTTGTCTGCTGTACTATGCTAATAATATAATGTAATATAATATATTGTATATACATATAATATTTATAATATTATAATACAATACAATAAATACTACTACTAATAATACAATATTATAGTTATATATTTTATATTATATGTAATATTACTAATAATATTACAATATAATGGTATAGTACAATATTAGCCGCCCCCTGCCACATGTTGCTGTGGCCCAGTCTGGTAATCTGAAAAATAAAGTGACGAGAAAGTGTTGGTTTCTAATATATGTAATTTCTTTATGTTTGTGGATAAACAGTATTTCTTGTTGTTTCTTTGTCAGTGTTGATGGAGAGATATTTGGTTTACCTACACTGGAACATGCAACATATAATTGTTCTTCTGTAGGGGTCCCTTTCAAATCTATGATACTATATGTGTCATATATGTGTATGTGTGTGTGTGTGTGTGTGTGTGTGTGTGAGAGAGAGAGTCACATATATCTATATCTATGGCTGGATGGCTGTTTGTCAGGAGGGCTTTGATTAGGTTTTCTTACTCTGCTAAAGGGAGTTGGACTGGTTGGCCTTAAGGCAGCATCTCTCAACATGGGGGTCAGGACCCCTGGGGGGGGGATTGGGAGGGGTATCAGAAGGGTTGTCAAAGACCACAAAAAAACCAACAGTATTTTCTGTTGGTCGTGGGTTTTGTGTGGGAGTAACTAATGTATTAGAGATTCCCTTGAGTTCACTTCTTTTTGTTATCTGTTTATAAGGCAATGCTGATGTTTCACTGAATGAAATGCCGACCAATAATGGTCCCAGAGGTGAATCAGAGGATTCAAACGATAACAGGAGCGAAGGTAAGGAGTGTGAGATGAGGCCAGGTTGCCCGTTCCATAAAATCTTTAGTGGGAGGTATCCAGATTCACAAGGTAGAAAAACCAATTTCTGCTCCCCATTGTTTTAATTCCCACCTTCTCAGGTCTTTTTCTCACTTACACAACCTGCTGCATTGGAGTCTCAGCTGTATTGGATACAGTTCTTCTAGAGTAGTAGAGTGTAACATATTTAATTCAGGAAGTTTTGTTTTCTCCAAATCATTACAGTCATCCTTGCCTTTCCATCCCCAGCATTTCTTTAGTAGTTCTTTGGATGGATAGTATCAGTTTGATTGAAGAATATTAAGAGACGTCTGACATAGCATACATGGTGTAAAATAATAATAATAATAATAATAATAATAATAATAATAATACTTTATTTGTACCCCGCTACCATCTTCCCAAGGGACTCAGTGCAGCTTACATGAGGCCGAGCCCAAAGTACATCAAACAAAAAACATCAATAACACAAAATTAATAAAAAGTCAATAAAATACAAATCATTTAATCACATAAACAAAAAACAACAAGCAATAGTGACATATAAACAGTTTTAAAAATGGCTGGACCAAATGTAATAGATTAAAATTGAAAATATGCTGACGTGAGTTAGGTAAAGTTTAACTGGGATAGGATTTTTCAAAGAGAAACTAAGGGATGCAGTCCATACTAAGTCAGTATTAAAGTGCATTATGAGGGCATATTGCTGAGAGATTCTCCTTATTCTGGGAAGGAACCCTTAAAGACTGCCAACGTTGAAGCATGTCTAATGTCTCTGGGAAGTGAGATCCAGAGTCGAGGGGCCACCACCGAGAAGGCCCTCTCCCTTGTCCCCACCAATCGCGCCTGCGAAAGAGGTGGGAGCGAGAGTAGGGCCTCTCCAGATGATCGAAGAGATTGTGTGGGTTCGTACACAGGTAGGCAGGTCCCAAACCATTCAGGGCTTTGTAGGTAAGAACCTGCACCTTGAATTGGGACCGGAAAATGAACGGCAGCCAGTGGAGCTCCTTAAACAGGAGGGTTGACCGCTCCCTGTAAGAAGCACCGTTAGTAACCTGGCTGCCGCTCGTTGTACCAATTGAAATTTCCGGGCTGTTTTCAAGGGCAGCCCCACGTAGAGTGCATTACAGTAAACCAATTTGGAAGTGACTAAGGCATGGACCATCCTGGCCAGATCCGCCTTCACGAGGTACGGTCGCAGTTGGCGCACACGTCTTAGTTGTGCAAAGGCCCTCCTGGCCACCACCGATGCCTGAGCTTCAAGCGTAAGTGATGAGTCCAGGAGGACACCCAAACTGCGGACCTGTGACTTCAGGGGGAGTGCAACCCCGTCCAGCACAGGTTGCCACCCTATACCCCGATCCGGCTTACGGGGTATAGGGTGGCAACCTGTGCTGACGTGAGTTAGGTAAAGTTTAACCTAACTCCTAGAGTGATTATTGTTCCAGCATTTATTTTGAGTTGATTTCTTTTTGTTTTCCGTTTATAAGGCCATGGTGAAGATGTTCCGCTGAATGAAACAACTGATGAGAATTCAAAAGATGATAGGAGGGAAGGTAAGATGTGTAAGCTGGGACCAAGTTGCCTATTCCATAAAACCTCTAGCAAGATTTACCAAGACCAGGAGGACCTCTGTTTTGTCGGGATTAATCTTCAGCTTGTTCATCCTCATCCAGACAGACACAGTGGCCAGGCACTCGTCCAGCACCTGAGGGGCTTCCTTGGAGTTTGGTGGAAAAGAGTAGTAGAGTTGCGTGCCATCTGCATAGAGATGGCACCATACTCCAAAACTCCAAATGACCTCTCCCAGTGGTTTCATGTAGATGTTAAAGAGCATGGGGGGCAGAATGAAACTTTGTGGGATCCCACAGGTCAAAGGCCAAACACACACACACACATACTCCTAGAGTGACTATTGTTCCAGGATTTATTTTGAGTTGATTTCTTTTTGTTTTCTGTTTATAAGGCCATGGTGAAGATGAATGAAACACCTGATGAGAATTCAAAAGATGATAGGAGGGAAGGTAAGATGTGTGAGGTGGGACCAAGTTGCCTATTCCATACAACCTCTAGCAAGATTTACCAGGCTTCCTGTAGCAGAGAAACCCCTTATTCCCCCCCCCCCCCAATGGTTTTAATTCTTACCTCCCTAAATGATTTTCGTCTCTGCATCCTGTTTTGAACTCTACGTTAGAGTCTCAGCTGAGTACAGTTTTTCTAGAATAGTAGAGAGTAATATACTTAATTCAGGAAGTTTTATTTTCGTCCAAATGGGACAGTCCTTCTTGCTTTTCAACCACCAGTGTTTCTTAGTAATTCTCTGGATGGATAATATCAGTTCAGTTTAAGAACACTAAGAGACTAGACAAAGCATACATGGTGTAAAAACACACACTTACTCCTAGAGTGAGTAATGTATTAGTGTTTATTTCGAGTTGACTTTTTTTTGGTTAATCTATATAAATAAAATGTAATGTTCGTTTGTGGGATTAACAGAACTCAAAAGACCACTGGGGCAATTGGCACCAAATTTGGACACGATACACCTAACAAGCCAATTTATGTCCTTCACTAAAAAAAATTATTTTGTCATTTGGGAGTTGTAGTTGCTGGGATTTATAGTTCACCTACAATCAAAGAGCATTCTGAACTCCACCAACAATGGAATTGAACAAAACTTGGCACACAAGACTCCCATGACCAAAAGAAAACACTAGAAGGGTTTGGTGGGCATTGACCTTGAGTTTGGGAGTTGTAGTTCACCTACATCCAGGAGCACTGTGGACTCAAACAATGATGGATCTGGACCAAACTTGGCACGAATATTCCATATGCCCAAATATGAACACAGATGGAGTTGGGGGAAATAGACCTTGACATTTGGGATTTGTAGTTACTGGGATTTATAGTTCACCTACAATCAAAGAGCATTCTGAATCCCACAAACGACAGAATTGGGGCAAACTTCCCACACAGAACCCCCATGACCAACAGAAAATACTTAAGGCCATCCAGTCCAACTCTCTTCACCAGGGCAAGAAAATGTAATCAGAGCCCTCCTGACAAAGAGCCATCCAGTCATAAATATAGCTAGATAGATATGATTCACACACACACACACACACACACAGATAGTATCATAGGTTTGAAAGGGACCCCTAAAGAAGGACTATGATACGTTGCATATTCCAGAGTAGGCAAACTAGACACTCTCCACATCAACACTGACAAAGAAACAACAAGGAATACTGTTTACCCACAAGCATAATGACATTACCAACACTTTCTCATTAATTTATTTTCCAGATCACCAGACTGGGCCACAGCAACGCGTGGCAGGGGATGGCTAGTCTGTTTATAAAACTGTTCCACTGAATGGAGCATTAATGGCCCCAAATGTTCTGTTTAGTCAGGATAGTGGGGTTTGAATTTGGATACAAGACCTCTGGATGTGATACCCAACATTAAAATGTCCTTTAACCTTTCCCCAGCCTCAGAGCCACAAGTGCTGTTAGGTTGCAATTCCCATTATACAATGGGTATGCATGGTGAATAATCAACGATGTTGGGCATTGTGGTTCAATCACATCTGGGAGGCAAATTGGGTAAAAATTAAAGAGCACTGACCACTAAGCAAAAAAAATATAGTTGGGCCTCTGACAGAATATTGACACATTCCTCGTCCATGGATTCAATGGCTCTTTGAAGGCAAGCATTAGGCTGATGTGCCCTACGATGAGAATGAGTTTCAAACTGCATTATAGGGCTGTGTAGATCTAGCCTTTGTTGGTTGTAAGTGCTGATATAGTATAAGCTAAATTTTCTTATTAATGCATTGATGTGGTACCCATTTCAGGAAATTCTACAACTGGAAAAACTTGAAGACTGAAAAGGAGTTGGCACAGATTTAAAGACTAGTGATGGGTTGTGGAACTTCGTAGCAGCAGCACAGGCAATGGTGGTGTAGTGCTTCGAACATTGGAGACAAGGGTTTGAATTCCCACTTGGTCATGAAACCCACAGGGTAACCTCAGAGGGAAGACAAACCTATCCTGAACAAATTTTGCCAAGAAAAAATCCTTTGTTGTTGCTTTTTAAGAGTTTCAAATATATTTTTTTAATTGATATTATATGGGTAAAGAAGTTACACATGTTTAAAATATTTTTCCTTGTCCAAAAAAAAAAATCTGCTCTGAAATATTACCATCTCTGAAAAGTAGATGGTTTCAGATTTACCACCCGGGAATGGTGGAGAGTTCCATACTATAAGAGTGGTTTGCTCTTACAGAAGATTTCTTAGAATCATAGTTTGGCAGTTGTTAGAATCATAGAATCACAGAGTTGGAAGAGACCTCGTGGGCAACCAGTCCAACCCCCTGCCAAGAAGCAGGAATATTGCACTCAAAGCAGCCCTGACAGATGGCCATCCAGCCTCTGTTTAAAAGCTTCCAAAGAAGGAGCCTCCACCACGCTCCGGGGCAGAGAGTTCCACTGCTGAATGGCTCTCACAGTCAGGAAGTTCTTTCTCATGCTCAGATGGAATCTGCTTTCTTGTAGTTTGAAGCCATTGTTCCGCATCCTATTCTCCAGGGAAGCAGAAAACAAGCTTGCTCCCTCCTGCCTGTGACTTCCTCTCACATGGCTATCATATCACCTCTCAGCCTTCTCTTCTTCAGGCTAAACATGCCCGGCTCATTAAGCCACTCCTCATAGGGCTTGTTCTCCAGACCCTTGATCATTTTATTCGCCCTCCTCTGAACACATTTCAGTTTGTCAATATCTCTCTTCAATTGTGGTGCCCAGAATTGGACACAATATTCCAGTTGTTGTCTAACCAAGGCAGAAAAGAGCATGGGTAGCATTACTTCCCTGGATCTAGACACTGTACTCCTATTGATGCAGGCCAAAATCCCATTGGCTTTTTTCTTCCAGCTTGGGACTTTATAAAAACGAAATAACATTCTGACATTAGATGATTGCTTGCTTCAGTTGATTTCCAGCTGCAGAGCTTTCTGTTTTCATGCTTCTTCATCCTTGTGCTGGGCATCAGTTTCTTCCATCTTCTTGGCAGCCACCAAAAGGAAAAGAGATGTAAAGATGGGCTTAAAGCTAACCTTAAAAATTGTGGCATAGACACTGAGAACTGGGAAGCCCTGGCCCTCATGCATTCTAACTGGAGGTCAGTTGTGACCAACAGTGCTGTGGAATGCGAAAAGGCACACATAGAGGGCAAAGGGGAGAAATGTGCCAAGAGGAAGGTATGTCAAGACAATCTTTGTCGGGACTGCCTTCCATGTGGAAATCAATATCCTCACTGCAAAAGAATATGAAGATTCAGAATAAATCTCTACAGCAGTGGTTCTCAACCTGGGGTCCCCAGATGTTTTTGGCCTACAACTCCCAGAAATCCCAGCCAGTTTACCAGCTGTTAGGATTTCTGGGAGTTGAAGGCCAAAAACATCTGGGGACCCCAGGATGAGAACCACTGCTCTACAGTCATCTACTGACCCACTGCCAAGATCCTACACATGGAAGGCAATCATACTCTGCCACGAGTGATAGCCTATGATGATGGCGATGGTGATAGCAGCCACTTTCTTCTTAACTTTGCCATCTGCCAATTTCCCCCTTGCACCTTCTCATTTTTCTCCTCAGGTTGAGCCAGCTTTTGCTTAAGCTGTTTCTCTTCCTGTTCTGCCCACTCTCTAGTCTGTGAAAGTGCTATTCATGCTTCTGCTTCGTCTCTTCTTGTTGTTGCCTTTTCTCCTCTTCCACTTTCTGTTTTCGATACTATGCAGCTGCTTTTTCCTGAGATTTTCAGAGTTACCTCTCCTTTTCCTGGGGAGTGATCATCAGAGGCAGGGGTCCACAAACCTTTTACACAGAGGGCCAGGTCATAGTCCCTCAAACTGTTGGAGGACCGGATTATAATTTGAAGGAAAAAAATGAATGAATTCCTATGCACAGTGCATGTATCTTATTTGTAGTGCAAAAAACCACTTTAGAACAATACAATAATTAAAATGAAGAACAATTTTAACACATATAAACTTATTAGTATTTCATTGGAAAGTGTGGGCCTACTTTTGGCTGATGAGATAGGATTGTTGTTGTTGTTGTTGTTGATGATGTGTTTCAGACTTAGGTTGACCCTGAGCGAGGGCCAAATAAATAACCTTGGAGGGCCGCATTCAGCCCCCGGGCCGTAGTTTGAGGACCCCTGCTCAAAGGCATGGATGATTTTATTGTACTGCTTTGGCTCACAGAGCTTGGAGTTCCCTTTAGACTTTGCTTCGTATGCATTGTGTCACCAAATGTCTTGAATGGGCGGACAACCTGGGGAGTGGTCCTGATTTTATTGTACTGCTTTGACTCACAGAGCTAAGGGTTTGTTTTTCAAATTGTTAATTAGTTTTTGTGGATCCAGAAACAATAAGCACACTGATGATTGATGAATAAGGACATATTTATTTACAGCAAAGTTGACATATATGTAGATAGAAAGCAAGATATACAAAACCCAGTTTCCTCTTTCTGTTGCGGGACCCCAGGAAGAGCAAGAAGGAAAACTCCGATTTGGCCAGTTCATGCAGTGACTGGTTTATGCCTGCATCGAGGTTCCAGCGAAAAAGAAAAAAAGCCTTGAAAAAGAAAAAAAGCCTTGAAAAAGTAAAAAGAAAGCCTCGAAAAAGAAAAAAAAGCCTCGCTCTTATGCTAACCCTCCTGGGTAATTTTCCACCAGGTACCTCTAATGAACCAAGGCTGAGCTGAATTCTTGAAACCATCCTTCCTTAAAGCCAGAGGCCAGCTTGATAACATACTCTCCCGATACTTCAGGCTCTCTATGACTTTGTTCCAGCAAAGATTTATAGTTGTTAGGGATTCAACCAAAACATTCAGACCATATCATGGACTCTTCCATCTTCCACAAAAAGGTTTTCCCTACAGGGTTTCCATAAGACTTTGCTTCTTATGTAATGTTTACTTAAATGTCTTTAATGGAGGACAACCTGGAGAGTGATCCTTAAATATGTGTTTTGCTTGATGAATGATTATAGGATCACTTTTCATAGAATCACAGAATCATAGAATCAAAGAGTTGGAAGAGAACTCATGGGCCATCCAGTCCAACCCCCTGCCAAGAAGCAGGAATATTGCATTCAAATCACCCCCGACAGATGGCCATCCAGCCTCTGTTTAAAAGCTTCCAAAGAAGGAGCCTCCACCACACTCCGGGGCAGAGAGTTCCACTGCTGAACGGCTCTCACAGTCAGGAAGTTCTTCCTTCCTTTTGGGTCTCTATAGGAGGGGGAAAGCTTTGAAGGCATTCCATTCAACAATGAGTAAAACAGTGTTCTTATTTGTGGGGCAATGTTCTCATTTTTTCTGCCCCAATAACTATACCCTCACAGAATTAATTGCTCTGTAATCATGACTTTATTCACAACTACTTTTTAAACCATTTATGCCTCAAGTCCATCACACTGGCCTGTCCACACCTTTCCTAGGCTGTGTCCTAAATGCATACATTTTATGTAATATGTACAGTGTTAAAAAAACATAAATTATTGCTTTCATCTCCTGCAATGTACATGTTGTTTTGGATTACTCAGTGTTTATTTTTTCTATTAAACATGTTTTATTCCATTTTATTCATATCTTACTGTACTTCTTTAGTCCTTTTTGAGAAACAAAATTAATTATTATTCTTTCAAACTTAGTTAAAGATATCTATACAATCATTTCTAGAAATTCCTTGTCTAGAAATAATATTTAAAAACACAATTTGACACAAATTCACTGAAATTATGGAACTTGCTACAAGTCAAGATGTCACAGCTGCCTGTTGCACTCCAGGCTTATGACCACCACACCACACAGGAGCCCAGGAATATAAGCGGGTTATTGTAAAAACATATAAAAAGCATATAAAAATCAGGAATAAGAATGGAAAATATATAATTTGAAAAGGTTTCACAACAGGTGAATAAAATAATCCAAATGTCTCAAAGTTCCAGAGGTGACAAAGTCCAGGAACATACAGAAATCACAAATACAGCATAAGTTCCACAATTCAGAAGGTATAACTAGTAAAACTTGAACAGGAACATAGTGAACTTCCAGGATACATTAAATCCAAAATCAAAGTTTGACTTGAATCAAGAACAAGAGAATTCTGTCTTAGCTTCTCACTCTAACGCAGCATTGCCTGAATTTATCTTAAGGCAAACAACTTGTTTAATGACACCCATGAAATCATTTAGTTTCCCATTAATTTCCTTCACAACCTTCCCACATAAACTCTGAATGACACAATCTATTTTTGGCTCTGATTTGTAAACAAAAACTTTTGTTGTTCTCTGTAGCTACAGGTGGATTCTCCTGGGAACCCTCGTTATCATTCAGCTCTTCACTTGATTCCTTATCTGTTGTTACTACTTCTGACTCCCCTGAATGCCCTTGAGGCTCTGCACTTTCCAAGACAGTTTTCTCACAGAGAGAACTATCATTTCCCAGACTTGATAGCCCATCACTTTGTGCCACAGGCAAGCTCACAATCCTCTCTAAATTATCAGTTAAACCATCAGCCTCTGGTTGGTCTACAGCATTGCCAATTTGACCAGCTTTGAAGGTACAAATCTTTTATTAAAAAGATTGTGCAATGTGCAGTTACAGCACATTACTAACCCTAACCCAAACCTATACTATGGCAAAAGCATTCTCTGGGGCATGTAGTTTTTTTCTGTGGCAGAGAGTTGTAAATGTGTCCCCACATCAAAAAGCCAAGGATTTGAGAATGGCTGCAAAGGGCCTCCAAGGTGTTGAAATACAAGGGAAGTATTCTTTGTTGTAGTACAGCGTGATGGTAACATTGCTACTACTGATAGGAGGGAGAAGAGGGCTGCGCAGGTGTTGGAAGAGGAGCAGCAGCGAAAGCTGATTAGGGAGATAATCATGGCCCCGACTCATTCCGAAACCTTTGAGGGTTTCTCCGACTGTGAAATGGGGGATGGGGAGGAAAACAGGGGAGTCAAGCGGGCTACTCGTGAACAAGAATCTGACAAGGAGATTCAAAGGAAGCATATCTGTGATATACTTAGTGCTCCTACACAGGATGAAGACTTCATGGGCTTTGAAGGGAGTGATGGGAGTGGGAGCGACATGGGGGAGGAGGATGGGCTTGATTGGACCTGTGTTCAGGAGATTAGGGATATCTGTAACGAGCCTACCTCCAGCGATGACTTTGATGGGTTTACAGAAGAGTGGCAACTGGGGAGCACTTGGCAAGGTCTAAGTCTTAACAGACGCTGGCAAAGGTGGAGGGATGGGGGTCTGGGTTCAGCTGCAGGGAATGGGGCAGCTGAGAGCGATGATGAAAGGGTGGGGAGCACCTCATCTTCTGATGAGGAACTTTAGGATATAAGTGGGTTTTGTTTCAATGGGTTCTTTGCAGAAGGCAAAGTGTCTTTTTGTGTGTGATTCTTTGTTACTGCCAGTTCTCGAGTTTGGGTCCTTGGACTACAGATCTCCATGTTCCTATGTGTACTTCTTGAAACTCCGTAAGTGATGACTTCTACTCTCCCGTTATTGACTCCAGATCGTGTTTGACAACGGCTACGTGTTTTGGACTATCTCACCTTGCTTGGAATGTGTTTGGACTACAGACTGCCTTTGGACACTGTTTTTGCTCATTACCAACTTGTTTTTGTATGCTCTTTGGACACTGTGAATTTCAAGCGGATTGCTACATGTTTCTGTTATACTGGATTATATGCCAGAATAATCCGGATTATATTTAAGTTGCTTTTTTTGCTTTGTGTTTGCTACAGACTCTTAGTTCTTACTTGAGACACTGAAGTAAGTGTCTCCAAGTCTTTTTTGTATCAAATAAACCTGTGTTTGGACCTTTTACATTGTGTTTGGCGTCATTAAGGCTTCTGGGTCTTGACATTATTACTTCTGCCATTGTTTTAAATATTAAGAAAAAGCAATTCCCTGTTGGTACATAAAGTCTCTCAATTAAAATATTTGAATTGGTTGCCCAAGGAACTCTTGGAAGAAAGGGGAAATTGTCAAAGAATCCTGTTTGTTACAACAATGTTTTGGATGTTTGTTACAACAATGTCTTGCTTTCTATGAAGGACTTTAGTGGCTTAGTCAGATGTTGTTGGAGCCTTTTGGAAAAAAAGGTCTGTTGGTGATTTCAGATGTAACTGGGCATGCCTTAGGCTGGATCTACACTCTTAAGAATTATTTACAGATGTTTTTCAGGGAATATTCAGAATAAGCACTGGCTTGTTTGAGAATCCTCTCTTGAATTTACTATATGGTGGCTGACACTGTATGTGCCACACATGGATTTAGTGTGCAATGCTAACCCACAACAACCCAGGGCAGATCAATCGCTGGCTTAGTCCAGGGTTGGAATGATGCAAGTCTCCAAAAGTTGCCAAACAACATCTCCCATCAACCAAGGGCAAGGGATGCTAGGTTAGGCTCATGGAGGTGTCAAATATCCTAGATTAGGTTGGCATAAGAGATGCAGTAGTAAAATTATCTGGTTTTCAAATGAGAAGATGGGACTTATGGCTGATTGGCCATAAAATCCATGCAAATATAAGATCCTCGGAGTTGGATGGGGTAGTCATAAATACTATCTCTGTATATACTGTTTTTATTAGAAGGAAATACCAGAAATAGGATTATGTATAAGTGCTCTTTGAATACTGAACAAGGAGAAAGAAAAGGAGTTCAAGAAGACAAAAAAAAATCCCTTTTTAAAAAAAGACATGGAGTGAGAGGAGCCTGGGTTTCCCCCACCCCAGCCCCGACCAATGTCACAAACATAAACCACAATTTACAAAGCAGAAGAGATGCTACACTGAAATGAGGAAGAAAAACTAAGTAATCATCATATACTACTATTTCGGCATATAAGACGACCTTCAACTTTTCCAGTTAAAATATAGAGTTTGGGATATAAGATTATCCCTCTTCCAATGCACACTAAATAAAATTTTAAAAAGCATCAGATTCGATTTCAATTTGGTAATTTTCCTATTACTGTACCTCCTCTGCCTCTCAGATCTTGCACATGCGCACCTGCACCACGCCACTGCAGTCTTCAGGAGCGAGATCTGAGAGGCAGAGGAGGAGGTATGGTAATAGGATACAAGGGTGGGCCAGACAGCTAAAAAAGGTGTGTTTTTCTGGGCCCAGAGCCACTCTATCTCTTTTTTCTATAACCTGCAGCTTGCACCTTACACCTTCCCGGTGAGGCACCCTTTCACCTCACCATCGGGACCGCATTAAATCCACGAATCCTGATGAATAGATTTTCTTCTACCGTACTTGTACAGTGTCACCCTTAATGCTTTCATACAGTTGCTGCATACGGCAGGGACGCGGCCACTGCCATTTTTGAGCTCCCCCCATATGCAGCAACCATAGATTCTCCAATTCGGATTGGAAGTTTCAGCACCCACTCTATAAGACGACTCCCGGCGTATAAGACTACTCCCGCATATAAGATGACTCCCATGCATAAAGCTACTCCAGCATATAAGATGACTCCTATGTATAAGACTACTCCCAAGTATAAGACGACCCCTGACTTTTGAGAAGATTTTCTTGGGTTAAAAAGTAGCACCGGGATTGTGGCGCAGCTGGCTGAGTGTCAGCTGCATTAAGATCAATCTGACCAAAAGGTCATGAGTTCAAAGCCAGCCCAGGTTGGAGTGGGTTTCCAACCAATTGTGTAGCCTGTTGTCGACCTTTGCAATCCGAAAGACAGTTGCATCTGTCAAGTAGGAAAATTAGGTACCACCTTAAAGTGTGGGGAGGCTAAATTAACTAATTTATGAGGCCATAAAAAAAGACTCCAGCAAGCACTCTAGCAAAAAGCATGCGGGGAAATGCAGAAGTACTTAATCAGTGTCGCAGATGAATGAGGAAAGCGACAGCTCCCCTGGCGGCCAGAAAAAGTTAAATAGCCTCTGTCAATGTCTGTATATGTTGTATGTAAAAATTGGCATTGAATGTTTGCCATATATGTGTACACTGTAATCCGCCCTGAGTCCCCTGCGGGGTGAGAAGGGCGGAATAAAAAGCTGCAAATAAATAAATAAATAAAGGAACATATTTCAGCAGAACCCAAAAAATCTGGAGAGGTACTGGCCCGTTCCTGAGGGGAGGGTCTCCATACTCAAGGAGATTAGGTTGGTAGGTACTTCACAGCTGGAAGTTTCACACTTCAGATACACTGGAAGCCCACAATGTCACAATCCATTCTTGAAAAATACAAGTGGAAGACATAAATGTATTTATTTATTTATTTATTTATTTACTTCGCTTATATACCACAATTCTCAGCCCAGGGGCGACTCACTGCGGTGTACAACATAGAAAAACAGGTGCAAAATACAAGACATAGTGTAAAATAATCCACAATTCATCATTATCAGAAAACATCCTCATCAAAAACATCAACATTACTACAAAAGCCATTCCGTGTCGTCTCATCGTCAAACCCACAATCCGGTATCATTTCCATTGTTCCATTCCTATGGTCAAATTACCAATCATTGCACTTCTTGTTCAAATGCCTTCTTAAACAGCCAGGTCTTTAGTTTCCTGCAAAATATCAACAGGG